TCGGATGTCATCTCGATGTCTTCCTCTGGCAGGGAACAACGGGAGAGTTCTGTGGCAACTCCGGAGGCAAGGAGAGGTACTTACTGTGCATACTCTGTGCATATTGTAAGGTATGTACTTATTATTACATTTACGTACATGCACGTACTATGCTCCTAGAACCCAGGTACCAAGCAATAGGTACCTCCTGTGTACACCCATAGTGTTGATACATCCTAGGTACCTGCACTTCTCGTATAGTTAATCATTCTCCGCAATTAAAAGTAAAAAGCTCACACTTTGGAAAGCTTCGTCACACTCTTGCTCTCTATATATCTCTCACGCACTCACATACACACACACATACACTTACACACTCTCTTTCCTCTATCATTTTACACTCCAGGTTTCAATCCATGGTTAAATATTATTCCTTTGCCGTTAGTGTCTGCACTGTACGTTCTTGTAACCAGTTCAACGCCCAATCTTTGTGCAGCTGAAGGTCATCATATCCTGTTTCTGCGCGGTTAACTCAACAACCAATTCATCCTCCATTGGGTCAACCATTTCAGGATTTCTGATTCTTCACCCCTCCCTCTTCTATCCTATCCCACCAATCTTTCCCCAGTCGCTCTCCTTTTGGTTGTAAACGCTGCTATAAATACCCGAACCAAAAACAAATCCATTCTGGCAGATCGCGACGAACATGCCACCACCCCCGAAGCAACGGAAGATTGCCATTGTCGGCAGCAGATCAGTGGGTATGTACACAGATAAATTGCCAGCTTGGTTCAAAAACACATTTGTTTTCTTGCATGTGTTAACTTTTGTGGCCCGGTGTGTTAACAGGAAAATCCTCCCTTACTGTCCGGTTCGTCGATGGCGTGTTCGTCGAGAGCTATTACCCCACGATCGAGAATACATTCAGCAGCACCATCAAATACAAGGGCCAGGATTTCGCTACGGAGATCGTGGACACTGCTGGCCAAGACGAATACAGCATCCTGAATTCGAAGCATTTTATTGGCATTCATGGCTATATCATTGTTTACTCAGTCGCGTCGCGCCCTTCCTTCGACATGGTTAAAGTAATTCGGGACAAAATCCTTAACCATCTGGTAATTGTTGCAAAATCTCTCTCTCTCTCTCTTTTTCTTTTTTTTTTTTTTTTTTTTTTTTTTTTTTTTTTTTTGAAATATATATACTCTCTATATATGGTTCTGGCTGTTCAATTCAAATGCTAACTCATCAACGATTATGCCACAGGGAGCGGACTGGGTACCTCTAGTGATTGTCGGAAACAAAAGCGATCTCAGACCAGACGTGCGACAGGTTACCGAAGAAGAAGGAAAGAAACTAGGAGAGGAATTTAACTGTGCCTGGACCGAGGCAAGCGCCCGGCTAGATGAAAACGTCTCCAAAGCTTTTGATCTGATGATTGCTGAAGTCGAGAAGTCGCAGAACCCGACCGAACCTGACCGGGGGAACAGTAAATGCACCATTATGTAACAACATTAGAGACCAGTCATGAGATAATGCCTTTTTAAAGTTGCTTTTCTTGTTAATATTTTTTTTTTGACCCTTTTCATTTTCTTTTTCAGTTTCCTTTACAGTTTCATTTGTTTGTATAGCCAACACAGGTTACAATGGCTAGGATGACGGGTTTGTCCAAGTGAGAGAGGCTCTCAGGATTCCAGGGTCCCTGGAATGTGTGACATTCTGGAACGTATTCCCATGACTTCCATCGTTTCTTTTTCTTATTCTTCTTTGCTTTTTTGGGGATTTTAGTGTTTTTTGGAGTCGGCCTCCACCGTATTACTCGCTCAAGATTACATGTTTCAGGGATCGGAATTTTTGCTGTTATTCTTATGGTTATAATTCGAGAAATCGACGAACCGAAGCTTTCATGTCGGTGTATTTTATGCCTGGTCTTCCCTATAATATTCGTCTTTTCTTTTTTCTATTTCATTTTTTTAATTTATTTTTATTTATTTATTGCGAGTACGGCAGCATGGACGACTGTTCCTATTGAGGCGCACCAAATGAATTATTTTCGAATTTAAAACAAATTGCATTTCCAGCTTCTAGTCAATCAGTGCATTTGTAATGGGCATTCACAGACACATTTGTTAGAAAGCAAAGCCTTAACCATTCTCCACACGTTATAGCTTCTGCTCTCTCTCTCTCTCTCTCTCTATCCTTCTTTTTTATCTCCCCCCTTCTAGCATAGATATCTGGGCACATTGCAGAGAAATGTGCAACTGTTGGTAGATCAACTCCAACTCTGTGCACGGGCCAGGCGCCTAATTTTATATAAAACTATACACGCCCCACTTTCTTTGCCCCTCTATTTTTTTTTTTTTTTGGCGACAAACATGCTACCAAAATTCCCTTTATTATAGCCAACATACCATTGATCCATATCAAATCCCTACAGCCCCTGGCAATCCTGCCCCCGCGTCCGCTACCACCAGTTCGTAAGATCTCTTTCCTCAGGGAACCATCCAGTGGACTCCAGACCCAGTCGTGGAAAACTTCCTTGAACGTTACTCGGTTACAATAGCGACTAAGAACATCCGGTTTCCAAAACTTAGTCGCCATGCTTGACATCGCGGACTTTGTCCATGGACCTACCCCTGAGAAGATCGCAGAGAGCCAGGAGCGGTTAAGGGAGAATCAGCGACGTCGTGGTGCCTCGGTGGAGGCTGTAGACGAGGTTGTTGCCCTGTTCAAAATTGCTCGTGAAAGTAAGGCTGAATTAACTCTCTACCACTTTAATCTACTTTACGCCTTTATTATTTATTATATATTTCTGCATTGAACTTGCAGCTTACGTTTTGCTTCCTTATAATAGCGCGCTATGAGGTTACTCAGATAGGCGAAAAGATCAATAAGGTCCAAAAGGAGATTGGGAAAAAGAAGAAGGTTGGCTCTCTTCTTCCACCCAGAGATACCGTACCGGTACTAACAATTATCGTGTTTTGTCCAGAACAAAGAAGATGCATCTGATCTGATTGCGGAAAAGGTGGAGCTCGAGAAACAGAAGAAGGACGCTGATGCATTGGCTACGGAGAAAGAATTGTTAAGAGACCAAAAGCTCAGGACTATCGGAAATTATGTCCACGAAGATGTTCCTACCAGCCAGAACGAGGTTGATAGTCCTATGTTTTTTTTTCTCTTGCTGTCTGAAACTAATACACTAACAAGCAATGGATTTTTCGATTAGGACGACAACGCAATTCTCTCGTCATGGGCGCCAGAAGGGTTCAAAGAAGAGAAGCCGGCCTTCTGCCTTTCACACGACGACATCCTTCATCGCCTGGATGGCCTTGACCAAAAACGCGGCACCAAGATTTTTGGGCATCGAGGGTATTGTCTCATCAACTATGGCCTTCTCTTGAATCTTGCGCTGGTAAATTACGGGCTGGAGTTTCTGTTCAAGAAGAAGTACACCCTCAACCAGCCGCCTTACTTTATGCTGAAGCAGTTTATGGCAAAGACAGCTCAGCTTGAGCAGTTCGATGAGGAGCTATACAAGGTCACGGAGAATGAAGACAAGGCATCGGAGAGATATCTGATTGCAACTTCTGAACAGCCTCTGTCTGCTTTACATAGCGGAGAGTGGCTTCATGATACCGATCTTCCAATCAAATATGCTGGTTATAGCACTTGCTACAGAAAGGAGGCCGGCTCTCACGGCAAAGAGGTAATGGGGATTTTCCGTGTGCATCAATTTGAAAAGGTGAGTTTCGACAACTTTTGCATGAAGACTTCCTGGGATGTTAGGCTGACACTACCGTGTATATAGATAGAACAATTTGTGATAACCAAACCTGAGGATTCTTGGGATGCCTTCAAAGATATGATGAAGAATTCAGAGGAATTTTACCAATCTCTCGGTCTACCATATCGAGTTGTTGATATTGTTTCTGGTGCGCTGAATAATGCCGCGTCAAGGAAGAATGACTTGGAAGCATGGTTTCCCTCCCAGGGCACATACAAGGAGTTAGTCTCGTGCTCGAACTGCACTGACTACCAATCCCGAGCATTGGAGATACGATATCGAGCAAAGAAGGATTCCGCCGATGAGAAGGACTGCAGCGACGAGAATAAGAAGACTTACGTTCACGCATTAAACGCTACCCTGTGTGCCACAGAGCGCACGTTGTGCTGTCTCTTGGAAAACTATCAAACGGAAACGGTGAGTTTGCAGAGGGCTGCTCCATTACTACCTATCTCAAAAACATAGCCACTAACTTAGATCCCATTTTTCTCCTTTTGTATAGGGTATCATTGTTCCCGAAGTCCTGCGGAAGTATATCCCGGGTCAGCCCACAGAAATTCTGTATACTAAGGATCTGGTTGAGAAATCCAGCGCGGATAAGTCCAAGTCGAAAAACAAACAGAATCCTGAGCCGAAGAATGGTTGTGTCATCCAGGAGATGCAGAACTTGAAGGTATAAGGGAAAGGGCGGGGACTATGTGTACTGGGCAGATATTGCATCGTACTCTCTGTTCGTAGGACGGAGCAACTGACTTCAGTTTCAGCATTTTATATAGAATCTCATTTCATGTTTCCGCTACGTCTAAACGAGATAGATAGATACCACTGAAGTACTGGAAAGCAATGGCTTGGAATGAATGAACATAAAAAAGTGTTGTGTCAAATAAAAATGACTTAAAATATACAATCTTTAACCTCAGCAGATGAGCCTTTGTTCATCTCCATCTATAATAAGCAAATACCATTAGACATTGGCAATTTATTTACTTGGAACTAGTCATCACATTAGAAATAAAATATCTCCAAGTTCCAAGCGGCGAGTCAGACTGGCAACTCTTATTTATCTTGGTGGGCGCATAGTTATTTTTTAACTATTTACCATCCTCGCCTCTGAACCTTAATATGAATAACTAACGTTAAAACTAACGAACACTTTTATTCTGAATCGCTTCTCATTTCTTCCAGGTTGAAAGGTGAACTAATTGTAAGAATATCTCCCATTCCAATTCTATTGACTATGGCGTCCGCCGCAAGAGATATCAGAAACAACCAGGAAAGGTTCGCTCGATATGTTTCTCGCAGTTTGAGCTTTTCTACCTCCCCCACCGCAATTTTCCACTCCCCGCCATCGAGTCACGGCATGGCGCAAGCGGCAAATGCAGCAGCCCTTAAACCACTAAAGCCGTTCGCATCAGGTGACATTAAAATATTACTGCTGGAAAACGTAAATCAGACGGGAAGAGATATTCTGTCAAAACAGGGCTATCAGGTTGAGTTTCTAAAGTCTTCGTTACCAGAGGATGAACTGATTGAGAAGATTCGGTTTGTTTACTGTCACTCCCTTCTTCTTCTACCTCCAGAGATAAAAGAGAAAAGAAAGAAAGAAAGAAAGGAAAACAAACAAGGGCTAATCCAAACCTCTTCTAAAAGGGAGGTACATGTCATTGGCATACGATCAAAGACCAAGCTGACTGCACGGGTGCTCAAAGAGGCTCGCAATCTCATTGTCATCGGCTGCTTCTGTATCGGAACCAACCAAGTTGATCTCCAATATGCTGCTACCCATGGCATAGCTGTTTTCAATTCACCCTTCAGCAACTCACGCAGTGTTGCGGAGTTGGTCATCAGTGAGATCATTGCGCTGGCTCGTCAACTATGCGATAGGTCAAGCGAAATGCACAATGGGATGTGGAATAAAGTGAGCAGTAAATGCTGGGAGGTGCGGGGGAAGACACTTGGTGAGTTGACAGGAGAATGACGTGCCCTGTCGTAGGTAAAAGGCAACAGCTTATATATATACATTATTCCATGTTTAGGAATCGTGGGCTACGGCCACATTGGATCCCAGTTGTCCGTACTAGCAGACGCAATGGGTATGAATGTGATCTACTACGACGTTATCAATCTGATGGCGATGGGAACGGCGCGTCAAGTTCCCACCTTGGATGACCTTCTCAAAGAGGCCGACTTTGTCAGCTTACACGTCCCAGAACTCCCTGAGACCAAGAATATGATCGGTCCGGAACAGCTGAGCCAGATGAAGCGAGGAAGCTATCTTATTAACGCCAGCCGCGGAACCGTCGTTGACATCCCTGCCTTGATCCATAAAATGCGAACTGGAGTAATTGCTGGAGCTGCTCTTGATGTCTATCCCAACGAACCAGCGGGTAACGGCGACTATTTCAACAATGATCTCAATCAATGGAGCATGGACTTGAGGAGCTTGAGGAACTTGATTCTGACGCCACATATAGGCGGGAGCACTGAGGAAGCACAGAGCGCGATTGGCATTGAGGTTGCTGAGGCGCTCGTGCGCTATGTAAATGAAGGTGTGACTGTAGGGGCTGTCAATATGCCTGAGGTGAATCTGCGGTCGTTGACGATTGAAGAGCCCAATCACGGACGAGTGAGTCAATGCTCCTCCTATTTTTCCATTTTTACTTTTGAAATCTGTTATCAGATAACTAACTTATATGTGCGAATTAGGTCATCTTCATCCATCAGAATATTCCTGGCGTGCTCCGGAAGGGTAAATCAAAGCTTCCCTCTTCCCTCGTAGCCCCATCTGAAGACCTCTCCTTCCGGCTCTCTCTTTGCTAACAATCACTGTAGTGAACGAAATCCTTGGCGATCACAATGTTGATAAACAGATGACAGATAGTCGCGGCGATGTAAGCAAACATATTCCTCTACAACTAGACGTTGTGGCAATTGATGCATTTGGAACTCGGGGCTAACAGAACGGGATAGGTTGCATATCTGATGGCAGATATCAGCGACGTTAGTACCAGTGATATTAAGGATCTGTACGAAAAGCTCGAGAGTTTGCCATGTATGACTCAAAAAATCCCCCTCTCTCCTTGGTGTTGATATTATGAAGGACGAGACTAGACTGACAATTATTATAAATGCGTAGCTCGAATCATGACACGAATCTTATATTAACTAAAAAATTTCGATTTAGCACGTACACATACTTGTATACTTAACAAAGTTTACTAGGGGATGTGAATTACCCGGACGGCAAACGTGCCACATACATCTGGATATATCTAAATATTATAATTTTTTAAACTTCTGTACGTCTCTCAACAGCCAATGTTCATGTTTTTCGCGTTGGAAACGGGGATTTAGAAAACTTGGGGCCAGCGCAAATGTTCATATACATGTAGCAGAGCATGAAAAGCAACTTGGATGAGTCGTTCCTTAAATGTCTTTATCTACCTCTTTTATCTTTCAGTAATGCCATTGAATTGTTCACTTGGTAATTAGTACACATAATGAATGGGAGAACGATATGTTATTTTGCAAATTTATTGATATACCCTTTCTCCTCATTTTACAAGCCCAAACTCCAATGAAAACATAAGTGATGTAAATCGGTACCAATGGAAACGCAGAGCTCTCTTAAAAACGACGTCCATGCCATTGCAGTGTGTTTCCACCGAGACTCGAGAACAGGAACTCGAGAACTTAAAGGGACAATGGAGAGAACAAGAGTGCTGACGAATCGTCATTGTTGTGCCGCCCATTGATGACCATAGAGATCATTGCCGGTGGTCACAGTAAGGATTGGTCTCCCTTACCGGGTCCTATCGCGAAATTCCTGACTACGACTTCGCCTCCTCGAACGATCCCGAACATAATCTCGCATTTCCACAGTATCTCTTCGTCCATCATCGCGGCCCCTGCCGCGGTCAGAATGCCCATTGTAATCTGGAACATACGAGTCCAAGCCACCTTCCCTGCGAGGTAGATGGCCGTCTCGTCTGGATTCGGGACGACTGTCTCCGCGCCACCCTTGCCCGCCGGCCCATGGTTGATGTGAAGCCACAGGTGGTTTGGGAGGTAGCGTTGAATCCCTTTGCCAAGCTTGGAGGTGTCCACGAGGTTCATCTGACACCTGTCTTTTGTGGCCCTGTGCGACGTCATTGACGCGACTGTCAAAGGGTCGCCGACTAGCCCCAGAAACCCCATTTGCAGGAGGGCCACGGGCTGCGCCGGGTATTCGACTAGATTTTTGATCGGAGGCCTGTCTAGGTCCTGATCCCGAGGACCATTCACCATTGGGTCCCATCCCAACTGACCCTCCAGCGGGTGCAGGAGGTAATGCAGCTTTTTGCCCACGAAATTTCCGCCTGTCTAACTCGTGAGAGTCTTCAAACACGGGTATTTCGCCAGGACGGGCTGGTAATGGAGGATTGCGAAAGAAGGGATGCTGAAGAGCGTCGATTGCATTGATCCTTTTTCGCCAATCTAGTTTAAGAAGCTCGTTTAGAAGAGAGATAACTCCCGGTCCTTGTCTGTGGGACATATTAGAATCACTAGCATCCGAATTTTATTGAGGGAAATATAAATTTTCGAAACGAACTCTTTGAAAACAGTGGCAAGAGTGCCGTGTTTGTTGCCGAAGGATTTCACACCATCACAACCAGGTAATGAACTCCAACCCGGCATATTTTCTTCCGTTGGGGAACCGACAAGACTAAAGATGAGATGAGCCTGATTTATGTCACTGCTACCTGCAAGGATTGGCTTCCCCTTAAACATTTCACCAAAAACACAGCTGGGTGAGAAATTAGCATCCGTGAAGAACTGTCTCCGTTAAATAAAAGGACCCTTACCCAACACCCCACATATCAATTGCCGTAGTATACTTCCGAAGCTGAAGTAGAAGTTCCGGTGGTCTATACCATCGAGTTACAACTAACGTTGTGTAATCTCTCATAGCTTCTCCGCCTCCTTTGCCTGGCTGTGGAGGAGGTTCATCGTATGGCCTAGCAAGGCCGAAGTCTGCAATTTGGAGGATCCCTTTATTGTTGATAAGGAGATTCGCCGCTATTTGCACTGTTAGCTTGTGGCGTATCGACCAGCGGGGAAATCCTTAATCTAACCTTTCATATCACGATGCAGGATTTTATTCTAAACAATCAGTTACTTAAGGAATACAAGGCATGATCACAGAGTAAATGTACTTCATGTAAATACCGTAAACCTTCAAGGAGCTGTAGCATATAGCACTTGATCTGGGGCTCGGTGAAGTGGACGCTGGGGTTTTCTAACAGGCCGGAAAGGTCGTGTTCCATATATGGAGTGACCATGTACATGCTAGGCTTTTTCCTTCCCTCCCCTTTTCAAATTGTGAGCATGGCTCTGGCGAAAGAACAGGAGACGAAAACGAAAACCAACCTCGAGGGCGTTCGACAGCCATTTCCTGAAGCCGAAGAATATTAGGATGAGACAGCATCTTCAGAAGTTTGATTTCTCGCAACGCTGTTATGGGAAACTAGCGAAGGTGCGTTAGAAGAAGACCCCAGTCTCCAGTGCAATTAACTTACCCCATCCTTCTCATTATGCATTAATATCTTTTTCAGGGCAACTATGGCGCCGGATTTTTTGGAGCGTGCTTTGTACACCTCTCTGAATGCGCATATTAGATTCCCTTCGTCAAAAGATCCGTCATATCTGACATACCCGAATGTGCCTTCTCCCAGTTTCCCCAGAAAATCAAACTCCCGAATACTCAAACAACCGTGAAAACGAGGATTCCCGCAGTTGTCGCGTTCCAGAGGAACTCTAGATTGAGGTGAGGAGTTGGGAATGACCATATTGTCATAACAAAGTCCTATGAAGGACTTGGAGTTTGTATTTTATTTAACTCTCCCGGTAGGAGCAACTCTCATTTGAGCTCTCCTAGACAGCGGCAACAGAACAACAGGGGCCCCTCTATGGCTTCAGATCGTCTATGGGGTGGTCAGGTGTAGTATGAGCGGACATTGGATCTCGACGATTGGGGGGCATCCAGGATGCAGATGGGTTTCAACAACGAAAGGCAGGTATTTCAGGGTTCCGCAAAGCGCAGCTCGAAGCTTCCGAAGTTGTTATAAAAGTTCTCTGGTATCGATATAGGGGAGCGGGTATTGGGCTCGATTCAACTCCGGAGTGTATATAGGGTTGGGTTGTCTGATATCAAAAGTATTTATCCTTTAATTTCTGCCAGCTCAGAAGGTCCATAAACAATGTTCTGGTGATATACAGTATAAAAGAAGTCTCTGATTGCCACACCGAGATTGTTGAACAGCAACAGTAGCGTTGAGAAGTGAATCAAACTGCGGCGCAAAACGCGACGAATGTGACAGAGGAAGTGAGAGCAAAATACGCTAGACCCGAAGTGGAAGAAAGTTGAATAGTTAACTATCATGTGATCTCAATCAATTACATTAATCACATCGTCTTTGGACTCGTTCAATCCGCGGCAGTAGAGAATAGAAGGATAATCAGCCAATTGCTTGTTCCAACCGTGTCCCTCATAGTCCTTTGAAGGTATGCTTCCTTGGAATTGATGCTGCTTTCACATCTCACTGACTCGTATATCCGGGAAGAAAGCTATTGGATTCCTCCAGCCATGCCTTCCAATCACCCCATTAAGCTCCCACCAGTTCGGCCGCTCTACCGGTTTGCCGCAACTTCTCTTGGGGCTAGCATGTGGTTCTTCGTACGTTGAATGTACCAAATCCAAATGCGGATCCCCAAATACATGGTTGTCATTTTCTGACCTGTCTCATCTGGGATGTTATAGTTGATGTATCGCGCTAAGAAAGACGGTCCTGCGCTGCTTGGTTGGAAGCATCCTTGGGAGCATTGAATAGACGTTTCGATTACGATATACCGTGGAGCAACAGGAAGGGGGAATTGACAACAACCTGGAGCCCTAGTCGGATGGAGTCCCGCGGTGTTTAGCTCTTTAGAACCAAACGCAAGAAATGTGTTTTTCAGGGGAGATACTGCAGTGCGATATATCGAGCTATACACTTCAAACGGAAAGAAAGGAGTTGAGAATTCCATTTTACCGGATGCTATAGGTAGCATGTATTTGGAGTTATAAGTATCTGTATCATATTGCTCTATTCCCCATGACATGGCCTCATTTGTATTCAGTATAACACGCTTGCACGGCAATTAAAATACATTACTTTAAGGCCTTGCCTCAGGAAAGGTATTCGGTCATATAAATTGGAATCGGTGTAAGCGCCTATCCATGGTGGTCCTTTTCACTAAGGAAAGTTCGTATACATAACGCTCTATATTCTAGAAATGTACGATGTCTCCCTCAAGAAAACAGTACCAAGAATACGCCAAAAGAGTGCATAGATATATAGCAAGACCATATCCCGATACCACTATGTTTCCTCAAGCAAAACTTTATACCGTCGCCGTTGCTTCGCCTGATCTGGACGAAACCAGCAGTGAATATATCCAACAAGACGGGCCAGCCTAGGGAAAAGTTGCCGTTCCCCGACCCATGCGATAGCAAATCCAACAAGCGCAATGGCCAGGATCCAAACTTTGAACCAAGTAGACATCTCCGTGAGCTGCATGAAATTGAACAGCCATTTGGCTGGTTCGAAAAGCATATACGCAGAGAAAAGAAACGTTACGATGATGGTAACAACAAAAGGAACTGCACAATTGATCAGCTTCTGGTAAATTTCATTCGTTATAGTCAAACCGAAACACAATCAAGGACAGGAATATTGACGAACCATTCGAAGTCATCGGCTGCCTAAAGGGGAGCCCCACGCTGAGTATAGGCCCGGAAAATATATACTCGAAGCATGATAAAACGAAAAGCGCTGTGTTTTGGGAGTTTGCCACGTTGGTGCCGTTAGAGTTTCGTGTCGGGGGTATATACCTGAAGCAAGAGAAACGTCGTTAGGTTCTGGATTCGGAAGTCTAGATGAAAATTCTTACCAGTCCTGTAGCTGTACCGTTTCAAACGCAACGGCCTGTACTACAATGCAAATACCAATCTGACCAAGAAGCGGAACTAGCACTTTACGGCAAACTAGATTCGATGTCGGTGCTTTGCGGCCAAGGGTTGGGCTCGGTCCGGTCCAACCCACTAAACAGAGGTTAATGAGGCTTCTACAATAGGGCCCGTGGCAGGTAGATCTCACTGAATATTGCAATCGGTAATATCAAGAGAAGATCAATGAATAAGAACTATTACCGGTTAGCAATGGCAAGCCAAATATGGCGTCTGGTTTTAAGTCACCTGGAAGTCTCCCAAATTCGATGCAGATGCATACAGGAAGCTCACAGAGGTAAATTGTATAGCGGAATATAAGCTCATAAATTTGAAGCAGCAGAAGCTCGTGACCAACGCCGCTCTTCCTTCTCTACGCTGCATCAGTACAGAATTTGACATCGGCGGCGCAATGAACAACTTACTTAATAACTTTCGGAACGCAGGATATATCAAACACTCGACTAGTGAAGGGGGCTGCCACTGATGCCTCTGCCTCAGAAAGAGAAATACCGACATCCGCAGCCTTCAGAGCTCCACAGTCATTTGCCCCATCACCGCAAAACCCGCAACAGTAATCTAGAGACTGGAGTTTTTCGACTAGCTCATGCTTCTCATCAGGTGACATGCGGGCGAAGACTTGGCCATGAACAAGCATCTGGTTGAAATGCGTCAGACTAGGGTTCTTTCTTCGTTCGCAGTGAGGGAACGTACTTTATTTAGGACTTCCACAGATCCATAATCAACAATCCATCGAAATACATCACCACTAACTGCTATGGAGTATTTGGGTCGTTCGTAATATCGGTAAGGTATTGATAGGTCGTTTCCATCGAGAGTCGAAAGTGGCTATTGAGTTGGTTAAGACGATGAGTTGCCACTAGATACACAAATCGACATACCGTCAGAGTGTTTTCGTCTAGGTGATAGGAAGCATCTTCCGTGCTCTCCCAGCTCAGGCGGGCACCCGGATCAAAAGAATTGCCTGTAAAATAGTAAGCATCAAACCGGAACGTATCATAGAGTTTACTTACCTGCGACAAAACGGGGTATAAAGCATGGGCCGGAGGCATCTATAATACCACATTCGCGGGCAACACTGACACCCGTCAAAATATTATCTCCGGTACACATGATACTACGGATATGTGCTTGATTTAGATCGGCAATGACATTTTTGGTGGTAGGTTTCAGTTTGTTCTCGAAGATAATGAACCCCGTAAATTCGAGATATGACTCGGCCTCCGGTCGAGTCAACTTTTGGACTTTCATCCAACTCAGTTTCTTGATATATTTCGTTGCACAGGCAATCACGCGGAAACCTCGGTGGGTGTAAAAGCTAAGCAGATCTTCGAAATCGGGAGGCACTACAGACAATATTAACATGGAAACGGGGTTTAATTGCATTAATATACTAACAGCTTTCGGGGAGGCATATATCCTTCATGCATTCTGGTGCCCCTTTCACGAAAATATAGGCACCGGTATCCCCAAACCGTCGAGCTATAACACTTGATCGGCGAAGTTGAGAGACAAATTCGAATAACCGAAGAACGCCAAGTTCGAAAGGTTTACCCTATCAGATAGATCGTTAGTCCAACCTATGATTAAAATATTCCAGATATACACTTACATCTGGTTCATTCTCATTATCGTCGAGAGAAAACCCAGCTGGCGGTCTGGCGATGGATGGAGAAATATAATCACGTTCCGAGTCGAAATCTGTAGCATTATGGTTCCCCTCTTCAAACGACCACCCAGTAAACTGGAACATTTTCACATCTAAGGGGTCTCCAATCAGCTCTCCATTTACTATGCGTAAAGAGTGACACGTCGCCATCGTATAGAGGATCTCTTTGTGCGCACGGAAGTCCGCCGTAGGATCCCTTTCATACGACCGGCGAGGAATGATAACTGATTGTTTCGGAAGTAGGTCACTGAATCTAGTAGGCCAAGTAAAGTCAGTTGGCCTCACCAGATGAATTACGTGTGCTGGGAAATTTATCTACCTTAAGTCTGGTTGGCGTATTACCCGGACCCCTAAGACATCAAGGCCGTCCTCTGTTAGAGTCCCGGTCTTATCAAAACAAACAACGTTGAGCTTCCCACCAGCATTAACCCTAGAGACGTTTTTAGCATGTATTAATTATTCGAACTACTGACATAATTTAATAGCATACCTTTGAGGGCTAATGCAAAATATTTGCTGCTTTTTGAGTCTAGAAAGAGCAAAATTTGTTCCGATTGATAAAGTAGCAGGCAGCGCAGGTGGAACAACAATGGTGATAAGGTCCAGAGCACGAATAATAATGGTATGCCACGGAAGCTAGCCTAATAGTTAGACCAAAACTTTCTAATCAAGGATGTGATCACATACCCCCAATCGAACAAAATTTATAAATGATGCGACAAATCCAAAAGTAGCAATAATTCCCATAACTAATATATATCGGAAAGAATCTCGGTAAAATTTAAAGCCAGATGGCTTCGGGAAAAGCATTGAGCGAACAAGGGCACCCTTAGTTGTATTAAACCCAGTTCGTATAACCATTGCCAGCGCGACAGCTTCGTCGCCTTGAGGGTCCTGTGGGCGTCTAGCTCTTATTATCCTCGTTCCGCAGAAAAGAGAATGTTTTGCCACACTAGGTTGAACAGATGGCGCACTTATGTCCAGTGCAGCAAGAGCTTCATTTGTAGCAGGAGTTTTTGCAACGGGGACGGATTCGCCTAGTTTGGTTAGGAGGATACTTTTCAGAAGAGTTCAGGGATTACCAACCTGTCAACATGCTCTCATTAACGATG